GTTTATATTTATCTGTACCAGTGAGATTTATACTTTTATATATTTTTACCTGCTTTTTTTTTTTTTCCCAGCTTAAAGAACGACCTTTAATATTTCTTGAAAGGTGGGTCTAGTGGTGATTAATTCCTTGTGCTTTTGCTTGTCTGGAAAATATTCTCTTTCAATTCTGAAGGAAAGTTTTGCTGGGTAGGGTATTCTTGGTTGGCAGTTTTTTTCTTTCCACTCTTTATAGGTATACCTCTGAGATATTGTGAGTTCTGTTGCAGACTACCACAATAAAATGAATGTTGCAATAAAGGAAGTAAAATGAGGGGGTTTTTTGTTTCCCAGTATATATAAAAGTTATGTTTACATTATATTGTGGTCTGTTAAGTGCACAATAGTATTATATCTATCTATATACCTTAATTTAAAAATACTTTGCTAAAAATTGCTAAACATCACCTGAACTTGCAGGGAGTAGTAATCACTAATGACTACTAACTGATTACAGTGGTAGTTGTGAAAGGTTGAGGTGACTGGGGCAATTTCTTTAAGATGACAATGAACTTTGCCAGAGTGACTGACTCTTCCTTTCATTCCTCTGTAGCATGTAATGCTGTTTGATAGTATTTCACCTGTAGTAGAACTTCCTTGTCAAAATTGGAATCAATCCTCTCAAACCCTGCTGCTTATCAACTAAGTTTATGTAATATTCTAAATCATTTATTTTCATTTCAACAATCTTAATAATATCCTCATCAGAAGTAGATTTCATCTCAAGAAACCACTTCCTTTGTCCGTAAGAAGTAACTCCTCATCTGTTCAAGTTTTATCATGACTTTGTAACAATTCTGTCCAATCTTTAGGCTACACTTTTTTTTTAACATTTTTTATTATGTTAATCACCATAAAAATAGTTTTTGAAGCAGTGTTCCAAAAAATTCATTGTTTCTAATTCTAGTTCTTTTCTACTTCCACCTCATCTGCAGGGACTTCCTCCTTAAAGTTTTGAACCCTTTAAAGTCATCCATGAGGTTTGGAATAAACTTTTTCCAAACTCCCTGTTAATGTTGATTTATGACATTTTTCCATCAATGATGAATGTTCTTAATGGCATCTAGAATAGTTTTTATTTTGCCCAGATTATCAGAGGAATCACTCTCTGTGGCAACTATAGCCTTATAAAGTATAGTTTTTAGATAAGTAGACTTGAAATATGAAATGACTCCTTGATCCATGGGCTGCAGATGGCTATTGTTTTAGCAGACATGAAAACATTAATCTCATTGTACATCTCCATCAGAGCTCTTGGGTAACCAGCTACATTGTCAATGAGCAGTAAAATCTTGAAATATTTTTTTTTTCCCTGAGCAAGTCTCAGTGGGCTTAAAATCTTCAGTAAACCATGTTGTAAACGCATGTGTGTTCAGCTTGCTTTTTTGTTTTATTTATGGAACACAGAGTAGATTTAACATAATATCTAAGGGCCATAAGATTTTCAGAATGATAAATAAGCATTGGCTCCAACTGAAAGTCACCAGCTGCATTAGCCTTTAACAAAAGAGTCAGCCAGTCCTTTGAAGTTTTGAAGCCAGGCATTAACTTCTCCTCCCTAGCAATGAAAGCCCTAGATGGCATCTTTTTCCAATAGAAGGCTATTTCATCCCCATTAAAAATCTTTTAGTATAGCTGCCTTTATTAATTATCTCAGGTAGATCTGGAGAACTTGCTGCAGTTTCTACATCTTCACTTTGTGCTTCACCTTGTACTTTGATGTTATGGAGATGGTGTCATCCTTAAACCTCATGAACCAGCCTCTGATAAGTTCACACTTTTCTTCTGTAGCTGTTTTTTTTTTTTTTTTTCTCCACATCAGCCAAAAACCTGTTTTTCTTTCTTATCATTTGTGTTGACTGGAGTAGCACCTTTAATTTTCTTCAAGAACTTTCCCTTTGCATTCACAGGTTGGCTAACTATTGGGTATAAGGGGTTTAGATTTCAGCCTGTTTCACATTTTGCCATACCTTCCTCACTGAGCTTAATTATTTCTAGCTTTTGATTTAAAGTGAGAGGTATATGACTCTTCCTTTCACTATCCACTTAGAAGCCATTGTAGGCTTATAAACTGGCCTAATTTCACTATTGTTTTGTCGCAGGGAACAGGGAGACCCAGAGTGAGGGAAAGAGATGGGGGAAATGGCCCCCCATTTGGTGGAGCAGTCAAAACACATACATTTAAATTTGCCTTCTTATGTGGATATGGAACAAATAAAAGTAACATCAAAGATCCGAGGTCACCAGGACATATAATAATGGAAAATTTTGAAATAGTTCAAGAGTCACCCACTGTGACACAGAATTACCAAAGTGAAAAAATGTTGGAAAAATAGCACCAATAGACTTGCTCAGCAAATTGCCACAGATCTTAAAATTGACAGAAAATGCAGTATTTATGAAACACAACAAAACCAGGTATTCCTGTATACATCATGCAAGTCTCTATGGGCCTAGAAAATTTCTGAAGAATCTGATGGTCGTGTGTGTGGGTGTGTAGGGGTTCCCTTGTACGTAAGTTTTTTTTTTCCTGTTTTTAAGATTCTCTCCTGTCTTTGACAATTTAGCACTGAGCTACACTGTGATCAATCTCTTTGGGTTCATCTTATTTCATATGCTGTTTAATATTCTGGCCATCCTAGATCTACATGCCTATTTCTCCAGGTTAGAGAAGTTTTCAGTCATTATTCTTTAAATACATTTTCTACCTCTTTCTCTGTTCTTCTTAGGGGATAACATCAAGCAGACCAACATTCACATTATGGGGTCCCCAAAATTCCATCAGCTATCTTCACTATTTTTTAATCTTTTTGCTGTTCTGACTGGATAAGTTACACTGCCCTGTCCTTTGAATTCGTGGATCATTTTTTCTGTGTTTTCAAGTGTGCTGTTTAAGCCCTCTGTAGTATTTTTCTCTTCAGTTATTGTGTTCTTCAGCTCTGTCCCTTTTATTAGGTACTTTCTTCTATATTTGTTGAATTTTTCACTTGGTTCATGTGTTATTCTCCTGAATTGAGTGGACATCTTTATCACTTATTTTGAACTCCTTGCCAGGTACATCACTTATCTCCATTTCATTAAGATCTTTTTCTGGGGTTTTATCTTGTTCTTTTGTTTGGAACATATTCCTCTGTTTCTTCATTTTGATCTATTCTCTGTATTGATTTCTATGCATTAGATAAAAGAGCCACATCTCCCATTCTTCTCTGGCTTATTAGCTCTTGGCTGTCTCTCAACCCCTGTGACTGTCCAAGCAGCCTGCTTTATTTTTAGTGGCTTTGAGAAGTGGAGATTGTGCCAAGACCTTTCACTGTCTCAAAGGGGAGGATCTCAGTCAGCATCTGGATTCATGCTGATTGGAAAGCAGAACTTCAGGTAGCAACTTTTATAGTTTGCAAATGGAATTGATTCTCTAATTTCTCTTTCTACAGTTAAATTGTTAGTATATAAGAAAGCAACTGATTTCTGTGCATTGATTTTGTATCCTGCCATATTACTGAATTGCTTATTGTCACTACCTTGAACTGGAACCCTATCTTTCTTTTTGATAATAGCCCTTCTAATAAGTAGGAAGTGATGATAATTGTGGTATGAATTTTCATTTCTCCAATGAGTAGTGATGTCTAGCACTGTTGCATATACCTATTGGCTGTATTTATGTCGTCTTTGGAGAAATCTATTGAAGTCTTCTGACTGAGAGACCCTGGAACTGGTTCCTAGGTAGGAATGAGGTCTCTCTGATACATGAGTGGCCCAGACTCCTCCTGAATCCCTTGGCATATGACGCTGGATCCCATAGGTCTCTCAAAGGCACTAACGTTTAGTAATGGATGCCTATTTATTGTTGGGTTGGGGGACAAAAACAAGGGATATCTTAGGCTGTTGTGTGATACTAATGTCACTCTTCAACCTTAGAACAGTATTATTTGTTGTAGGTATATGTTTGTATAAGTGGGAATATTACAGTGGGATGAAGTTCCAAAATGACTAGGTCATGGGGTATATGCAGTTTTCATTTTGGTAGATAAAGCCAAATCACTTTTTATAGAGGTTTATACTCTATCCACAGTATAAGAGTGCCTATCTCTCTAATAATTAACTTTTTGACTTTGTCAGTCTGAAAAACAGCAATTCATTATACCCCTCATTTGCATGTATCTTTATGCTTCCTTTCCAGTGAACTATCCCAATTCTTTGTGAATTTTTTAAATAAAGATATTTTAAAATTAATCTCTACACCCATGTGGTGCTCGAACCCCAAGATCGGGAGTCACATGCTCTACCAGCTGAGCTAGCCAGATGTCCCACTTTGTATATTTTTGTTTTGGGGCCTGGTCTTTTGCTTATTAGTTTATTGGCGTAACAAAATTTAGAATATCTTTGTTTTCTGTAAAAACAAAACAAAACCAAAAGAACCAGGGTGGCTTTGTTAAGAAAGAAAAACTCCGTTTTAAAAAGTGCCCCTTCCTTCAAGCCCATCCTGCCATGACCAAAACAGTTTGCAGAGTGGGAGTATTTGATGCTTAGTACAGCAAAGCCCTATAAGTAGAAATACCCTGAAGGCCCTCTTGGCTGATCCTCACACTCCAGCTCCCCTGGAAAATGTTTTAAACTCAGGTTAGAATTTAATAGGCAAAATTGCTGAATCAGAGAAAAAGTGAAGGCTCACAAACCCCCTCAGGGAATCAGTAGCACACAAGTTGGTAAACATATAAAAAGACAAACCATGCAATAGCTTTTAAAAATTAAACTATGGAAGTACAGAGAGGGTCCTTTGTGTTTGCTGAGAGGGCAGGGTTCACAGGGTGAAACAAGAAGGGCACTTGAGGGTTGTCCTCTTCCTGGGGCTGGAGCCATTGGCTGTCAGAGTCTGTGTTGTTGGGTACTTGATAGCACCCAGGGAAATTCCTCTAGGGAGGCTTTATGAAACTCACCTGCCTCTCCCATGGCATTTTCCCCCACAGCTCATGTGTTCATCAGTGCAGAAGGCTCTGTTTGAGGAGGAGGACCATGTCAAGAAGCTGCAGCAGAAGGTGGCCACTCTGGAGAAGCGGAACAAGCAGCTTCGGGATCGGGTGAAGAAGGTCAAGAGGTCATTAAGGCAGGCACGGAAGAATGGTCGACACCTGGAGCTGGTGAACCAGAAGCTCAGTGAGAAGTTAGCAGCTGCAGCAGGTGCCCTCCCACACATTAATGCCCTGGGGCAGGAGCCACCAGGTGCCACGTACCTGCGGGGGTAACAGCGCTTGAGTAGTGGTCTTGCCTGGCTCTGCTGGAACATGTTGCCTCTTGCCAGGGATTGTAAAGTAATGGTAGGTTTTAATGTGCACATGGGTCAAAAAGTCTTGTAGATGTTTTAAATATGCATTTGGTAGTGTCTAGTTACTTGAATGGGCAAGTTTTGTTATTAGTTGCTGGGCTCCTTCCCCTCCCTGCCTCGCTCCCAGACCCAGTGCTTAGAAGTCCAGAGACAGCACGATCCTGGAATGTCATGTGCTTGCCTAGGGTCTGTCTTCAGCTTTCAGGAGCACACTGGAAAGTCTGGGGGAAAGAATATTTTAGAATCTCTACATGTACAAGAATCAAGGGGTTCAACCTTATTGCAGAAGAGGCTGTGAGACCTCCAGCTCTGAGCTCCAGGACCATCATTAGTTTTGAGAAGGGATCTGCAGCAAGTCTTGGAACTTTTGGAAGGTGGATGGCAACCTTGCAAAGCACCCAAGGATGTCTGTAAATAACCATGTGCAAGGTGTCCCTACTTCAGCCAGCTGAAGCACAGCTCATAATAGTGCAGTGGGGAGAGGGGAGTAATTGAACAAGATGAATTATACCTGATTTCCAAGACCAGTTACCCAGAGTTAAAGAGGATACCTAGGGGTCACTTTAAAGGGGTATTGCCTTTGTGGACTGGTCATGCTTTATCAAACCGTGTTGCTGAGTTGGCAAGAGCCTGCACAATATCTCAGCCCCTGCTAAATGCAAACTTACTGTTGGCTCATTAACTCCTTCCAGCTGCTCTGAATTTGAGGTGAGTTGACCCAGTACACTGTTAACTTCTGCAAAGATACCTCCTTACCTATTGGAATCAAGTGACCTTGCCTCATTCCCAACCAGGCACCCAAAGAGCTTGTTCCAGGCGGTTCTCCAGAGGCTTGATGCAAGCATTTTCACCACCTAACTAAATTGGCTGTAAGGTAATTTTGTTCTCAGAGAAAATAACTGTCAATAGAGACATGAAAGCAAACTAAGTTCCATTTTTATATTACATGAAGCTTAGCCCTCCTAGTAGTCTATGACCAGTCTACATAGTGGTTTTAAAACAGTGGATGATAACTCCATATATCAACTTGATAGAAAATACAGTAACTGGGAGTGTGAAATAAGACTGTAAGGCCAGATTGCATACCATACTGTAATACAAAATAATAGCTTATCAGTTATAAAAACGCAAATGCTTTACAGCTTTTTTGTCTGTCCCATAGAACTTCTGAATGTCTATCACCAGACATGTATCATTATGCTAAGAATGAACAGTCATGTAGACAGCTTTCATAATGTAATACAAAGCTCAGTTACAAACATGCATCCTAGGATTTTGGAAAACAGATACTTCTCTTAGGACATAATGAAGAAATTAGTAAGGTCCCTCTTATATTTTTTGTTAGTTTATCTTTTACGGCCAAATTGCCTTCTGCCCAATGAGTTATGCAGTGAAAATGCTTGTGGCAAATATGCCTATGGTGGAAATACCAGACAGGGTTCCAGGCATTCCAGTCTCTGCTTCTGTATGCAAACCTTCCACCCACCAGGACTGCCCACCCCTGGGAGTAATGTCTGCACATGACCTCAGAGCACTTCACCCTGTTTGGAAAGAAACCTGTAGAGACAGTACTACCAGTAAGAAGGGTAATCACATATAGAACAGCTGAGCCCTTAATTTAGGTACATTTCATCCAGTGGCAGTTGGGTTCTTAAGAAGGCAACCAAATGGTCATCTTGTGACTACCTTCTGATGGACCTGCAGATCTCCAAGTCCCTCTTGCTGTTCCAGATAGAACTTTCAGGTTCCTCATCAGGAAATCTGCCCCCAGACCACTCCAGACATTGCAGCACCTGATTATGTTGTCCTGTCCACCGGAAATGGCAATTATATGGTCAGATTTCCCTTCCACTTCCTTTAGGAAAACCACATTTTTTGGCTCTGGCAGCTGGTTGGGAGGATGGACCTGTGTTACTTGAGGCTGCTGCTCAAAGGGAGAGGTCTGCACTCTGGAATGGATAGAATGGCAGTTTTTGCTTCATTTCCAAGCTTCTGCTGCTCCTTTATTAGCTGTATCCTTCACAGTACAATACAATAGTTTAGTCTTTCTGGGGCCATTTCATTAAAGCATTTGGCTTCCACCCAAGGGAGTGACAAGCCTAAGGGTGATTTACAGCTAGTGTTTTGAGAACTGTGGAACCTGGATCCCTACAGATGCATTATGTTCTGCCTTTTTAATAAATATGAGCAGTATTTCAGCCACAATGGTAAGGTGATGTGTGTTTCTTTGGGGTCAGGGAGATTCCAGCTTTGGCCTGGAAAAGTACTTTTTAGATCCTTCTGGGGAAGCATCTGTGAGTAACACCTGGGACACACAGAAGACTGAGCTCAAATCTCTTGATGTTCCTGTGGGGAGATATGGCTTGAACCTCTCTGTCCCAGGGTTCCCACCTTTCAACCCACCTGCAGAAAAACAGTGGTATCTACTCCCCAGAGGGGAGAAGAAGCTTCATTAATCAATGTCTGCAAAAATATATTTTCCTGTTGCCAAAGGAAACTCCCCAGGTCCCTGTTATCTGCTGCATTGTCATCTTACTGGAGCCCTTGCAACCTGTTTATTGTATCCATAGGAATTTTTTAAGCAAGAAGAATCCAAGAAGTACTTCAAAATTGATAACACTACAACAGGTTGGTTGAGCATATCTGAGATGCAAACCACTGTTGAGTTCTACTTTGGAAAAGTCACTTGACCTTCTCAAACTCCAAAGTCACAAATGAAATGAGAGGCAGACAGAATCTAGAATCTTTGTCAGAATCTAGAATCACAGGTCACCACGTGAGCCACAGCTAGCATGGGATAGTTCCTTGGGCCTCCACTGTGTGTTTAAATGTGAATGTCCAGACGACTGTTCCTACTGGTTTTTTTTTTCTTTTGATGTCACACTTTTCCTGGTACCTGCCCAGTAACAGGGATTCTCACATCTGTGATGCAAGGCCACATCTCCCTGAGGGGAGAGATAACCTAAGTTGTTGATTCAGCAACAGTCCATATTCTAAAATAGTCTTAAAAATCAAGCACCTAGTGTGTATTAGGTTCCTTTACCATATTCTCATTTACTATTTCTAATAACTTTATAAAATAGTTGTCCTGTTCCCCATGCTTAAAGAGGAATCTGGAGTTTCAAGAGATTAATTGCCCAGTGAAACACAAGTAGTATAAAATGGCCAGTCAAGGATTCAACTCCATCTTGATTTCCCTTTTTATGCTTGCTCATGTAAAATGAGGCTAATAAACAAGGCTTTTCAGAAGATTGAATAAAATCATTCCTTTGAATGCTTAGTTTGGTTCTTGACACTCTGTAAGCACTCAAGATAGAAGTGTTGTTTCTGCTATTCCCCGCAAAGACCCAATGCATGTCAGAAATGAGAGGTTATTTGGTGGGATTCCATATAATTTTCTTATTAACAAGAGGAGGGATAAAAACTTTGATCATCTCAATAGATACCAGAAAAGTGTTTGGCAAAATAAACATCCATTTATGATAAAAACTACAACAAAGTGCATCTGGAGGGAATGTACCTCAACACAATGAAGGCCATATATGAAAACCCCAAAGCTAATATCATACTCAACGGTGAAAAATGGAGAGCTTTTCCTCTAAGATCAATATTAAGACAGGGATGTTCACTCTTACCACTTTCATTCAGTATAGTACTGGAAGTCCTAGCTCTGGCCATTAGACAAGAAAATGAAATGAAAGGCATCCAAATGAAAGGCATCAGATTGGAAGATGCAAAATTGTCAATACTTGCAGATCAGATGCTGTTATATATAGAAAACACTAAAGATGCCACCAAAAGTGGTTAGAATAAACAAATAGCATGACACAGAATTGATAAGCAAAAATCTTACTTTTATATACTAATACAGAACTATGAAAAAAATTAAAACAATGCCTTTTATGTTTGCATGAAAAAGAATACCTAGAAATATATTTAACCAGAGATAAAAGATCTGAACACTGACATTGCAAGACATTGGTGAAAGAAATTAAAGATGAGTATTATGCTAAGAAATAAGGCAGACAGAAAAGACAAATAGCATATGATCACTTATATGTAGAATTTTAAAAAACAAATGAAGAAAAAAACCAGAAATGGACCCAAGATATAGGAAATGAAACTGTTGGCTATTTAAGGGGAAGAGGATAAAGTTGAAAGAGGTAAACAGGATTAATATATCCAAATGTCCAGTTATAAAATAAATCATGGGGATGTAATATACAGTATAGGAAATATAGTCAATAATATGGTAATACACTTATGGTGACAGATAGTAATTAGACATTGTGGGGATTTTGTAGTATATAAAAATATCAACCACTATTACATATGAAAATAATTCAATGCTGTATGTCGATATACTTCACTTTTTTTTTAATTTCTTTTCAGTGTAACAGTATTGTTTTTGCACCACACCCAGTGCTCCACGCAATCCGTGCCCTCTCTAATACCCACCACCTGATTCCCCCAACCTCCCACCCCCCGCCACTTCAAACCCTTCAGATTGTTTTTCAGAGTCCATAGTCTCTAATGGTTCACCTCCCCTTCCAATTTCCCTCAATTCCCTTCTCCTCTCCATCTCCCCTTGTCCTCCATGGTATTTGTTATGCTCCACAAATAAGTGAAACCATATGATAATTGACACTCTCTGCTTGACTTATTTCACTCAGCATAATCTCTTCCAGTCCTGTCCATGTTACTACAAAAGTTGGGTATTCATCCTTTCTGATGGAGGCATAATACTTCAATTTTTTAAGAAAGTCATCCAAATTGGAAAGGAAAAAGTAAAACTGTCACTACTTGCAGAATGACATGACACTATATATAGAAAACCTTAAATCCTGCATCAAAAAACTATCACAACTAATAAGTGAATTAATAAAAGTGCCAGATAGAAAATCAATATAGTAAATTCTGTGGCATTTACACACACTAATAAACTCTCAGAAAGAGAAATTAAAACAATTTCACTTACAACTGCATCAAAAATAATAAAATACTTAGAAGGGCCATATGCACCCCAATGTTCATAGCAGCACTATCCACAATAACCAAACTGTGGAAAGAGCCAAGATGCCCT